TGTTGTTCACCTTCAAAGCCTGTTTAAACATAAGACAGGAAGTTTGTTAAAGGGGTGCAAATAATGCTGTTTTCTCAAAAAATAAATACTTCTGCTAAAGGACCCAAATGAGCTGCATACGACAACAAACATGGAACAAATGGATGGATAAATTTGTCTGTTATTAATGTTTCTGTTGAGAGCTTTTTACTGTATCCAGATGAACCCCTTACGTAAGTTGTACATCATGGAAGAATTATCAAGCAGAAACTGATGCATTAAACAAGAATGTGGATCAATACAGAGGAGAAGCTGGTCTCAGTCAACATCCTTCGTGAATGAAATGTCTCACAAATTAGCATATCAACAAATGTAGTATCCACAAAATGGTATCATTTAGGAATAAATGCGATTTTTCTGCAGCAGAAGCCAGGATTTATTTAAAAGGTGTATTTATAACGTTTCATTTCGTGCTATTTTGGGGTTGGGGAGTTAGGCTAGATTTTCTTTAAAACGCCAAAATGTTATATTTATTTGCATACTGAAATGTAAACAAACAGTGTATCATCAAAATAAGGTGGAAAAAATCAGAATTCAAACCGATTGCTACAATTTTTTTTCCTTTGTATACCTAAATGATAGAATATTCGTATTTTCAAAACAGTTCTTACTGGCGTTATTATTTTAATTTAAATTTATAGTTGAAGTGCGTGTATTTTATTTCTCAACGAAGACGTACCGGAGAAGAAGGCTAAAATTACTGCAGAAGGCGATTTTTCACAGTCTTCATCAAAGCGCCATTCATTCGCGGAAGTATTCTTAGTTTCATTAATCGTTAACTTAATCTGGGGAGAAAGGCAAGATTTCGAGATAAACAAGCCAGAGAAAGGGTGAAAAACAGTTTCACGGCCGAATGGACACTTAATTAGCCACTGTATTCCTGAAACGATTAAGTTCGATTTTGGAGTTATACTATTGAGAAGAATTAAGTATCTATAGGATAATTGTTTAACGAAAAACTATCATACTGACCTTTTCCTCCTGCTCAAAAAATGTGCGCGAAATGTTAATGCGACAGCGAAGGTACAATAAACTCACTTTCATCGTAGAAATACCTCGACACCTTAAAGAACATGTTTGTGGAACGTAGCACCCAATACACGTCATTCAGCCCCAGAAAACAGCCTGCAAATGCTGGTACTGAATGTAAACAATTCACAGAAAATGCCTCTGTGGCCCTTCAACAGCCCATATTGACGCATGCGTAAACAAAATGCCCTCCTGTTCTCATTGGTAGCCTAAAATAGGAAGTATTTGGAGTTACAAACTGATATACATGCAACAAGGTGCTTGTGTGCGAAATGCCTTGACTAATTAAAACTCGTTTACAACCCTGCGAGCGAGGCTACATTTTCGGGGTGTGAGCTGGCGTGCGAAACGTAGCCTGGGCAGGGTACTTGTTTACAGAGTCATAGTAAGCTTAAAAGTTGACCAAAATGGCGGCCGTGAAAATGGGCCTTTGGAAAGATTGTTACAATGGGGTGTATCGAAAGGTTAAGTGGATGAAATATTCCGTAGGCAGTGTCTTGACCAAATTGCAATTGAGGTTTTGGTGTACCAAGGATGTGGCTTACTCACTAAGTTTTCTAGGACGTCGAGGATGGATTTTAAACTTGCTGAACCACTACGACTGGCACATAAGAACTATCTAAGCTCCATCTTGGGCATATTGTGTCCTAACGCAATATATCAATAGCGTGAACTCTACTCTCCATAATACTTGTATGGTTGTTCGAACTATATGAGATAGCGTAACTTTTCGAAACCCGCCCCAATCAATCCTCGCTCGAGCATCAGAGTGAATGATGTCGCGCGACATGTGATTCATACATTTACTTTGTTTCGTAATAGCCGCCCTCGGCTTGATTCAAGTGATCGGGAGAAATGTTAAATAGAATTGATAATTTTGAGTCTTTTGGAGTCGAAATCGTGATAACTGTGTTAGAAAGATGAATAATTTGGTAACTCGCCTCAGTTCTGCACACTTTCTGCAGCTTAACCCCGCCGCAAAATCAAGTACAGATTTTAATAAAAACAATCTTTTTTCCAATGACAAAAAAACTCGCAAAAATATACCTTCAGTTCTTTGGCAGTCTTATATATTACTTTGTTTCGATTGAACTGTCAAGGTCCAATTTAAGTCTAGAATGGAAAGCTGAACAAAAAACAAAGATTTTCAAAAGCATTTTTCAGGTACGTAGGCGGACAAACAGTAGAATTAAGTCAAGTTCTGAACGAAGTCATATGCATCGCCCCCATTTATCTAAGTCTGCGCTGCGTCCGGCTATTATCAAAGGTTCCTGAATAGCCGTATTCGCCAGCATTATTACGTTGTTGTTGTGTTCTTGACTTGTTACATCGTGTACCAAATTTCATCGCAAACCTACGTTAGATTCTTTTACTAAGGAATCACCTAATGTTTACTTTTAGTGGGTTCATTTGCGTTTTGGTGGCGTTTTGAGACGCTTGAAGTTGCCCCCTTCCCCCGATAACATGTCCTTTGCTCAAGTTTGTTGTCGGGGAAGCAAACTTCGAGTGACTCGAAATGCCGGGGGGTGTGTTCCCTTAAATGGTCCACATGGGGATGTGCCGCTGGACAGGGTATTGCTGGTACGACTTTTGCTGCTCTGTCATAAACAGGGTACATAATTTCGCGCGAGTCTGTCCTAAATAGCGTATATAATTTTCGTGTAAGTCTGTCCTAATTATAAACAGGTTATTGCCTGCACGATTGACTTAATTTGCTTGAAGAAATTTGTTTGTTTTCCGGTATACAAAACTAATGACTACAACGTAAATTTGCTCTATTGCAATTGCCAATAAATAGCTTTAAATAAGAGCCATAATGGGGCCACTAAGGCGTGCATTTTGACCTGTGTCCTGAACCGGGTAAGGTAATAAAATTGAGGGTGTTGTCCTAAACAGGGTATTTATTTTGAGGATTTTTTGTTCTTTATAGGGTCAGGGATTTTGAACCGTCAGCAGCTCACCTATACCTCGATATACCCATAGAAATATTGCTACGCCCCTGGGTGTAAAGGCCAGCCAAATGCAATGACCACACTAAAAGCAAACGGCGAGAAAACGTATATAAACGAATACATAATATCAAGAGTTAACAATATTTAATTATTATTTATCAAGCGATGTTTTCGTAATTCAAAACAAGTAAAAAGAAACGCGAATCAAATCGAACGACGTTTCAGTGTCATTGTGTGGTAATTTTCAAGTTCAGAGTGTCTGGTCGGGTCGATAAACTGTCAGAAACAATTACACTATACCTAAAGATAATTTTGAAGGGTTTACTCGGAGGCCTCCTCTGAACTAGATACACAGAACGATCTGCATTTAAAAGATGTCCATGGGTTATGGGTTCCTTACACAATCCCTTTGTTTTCTCTGACAAAATACTGGCGGTCGAGTCGTAAGCTTCCCAGAATTTCATGCGAAGATAAATTGACGATATAAACTCGGTTGATAAAACGAATTTCACTCCCCCAGGGACGTAGCCCTAAAGTTTTTTTCAGAATCTACCTCTTTATTTACTTGTCCGGCGTATCCTGTGTGGCATGGGTTCGGAACGGAAAAAGAAAGAACACCTTCAGCCTAGCTATACCCGACAATAGTGTCGATTAATGGGACGTGATCACTGCTACTAATACCGAGATTCAGAAAGAAAAGACGCAGAAAACGGTCTTTAAACCTGCTAGATTTAAACGAAGCTACGACATTCGTCGAATTTACCTGAAAAACTCGCTCTCCTTTCTTCGCCATTTATTTTCATTTGTTTTTTTGAATGGACAAAATGAACTCTTATTCTTTTTTTTGCGGATTAGTGCTGTTGGGGAAGCAATAGACCTTTAACTCACGCCTACCATTTTGCATGAAAACAAACATTTTGCAAGTAAGTCCGGTGTAAAAACAAAGCTCTTTTGTCCGAGGACTTCATATGGCTTCCTCGTGTCTATGCTATTAATCACGTTTCCCAGTTCGAAAGCTGAGGGAAGATGCGTTCGGAAATTATGTTGGAAGAAAGGCTCCATTTTTTCTTTGCTGCAAACCTTTTTGGTTTCCGACTTGCTTATTTTGGCCAGCCGAATCTATGATTTTAACCTGTTTATTGCGTAACCGAATGAGCTTTCTAAAATGACTTAAAACAGAATATGATACTGCACAAATACGATTACGTATCGCTATAGAGAGTTTTTTCTCTCGTGGCCAGCAACTATGCAAACTTACTGGAACAAAGGAACGATTTTCCATACGAAAAAGGTTGAACTTCCACAGGCATTGGTTTGGAACATGAACATGGCCGCGGTTTCATTGTTTTGGGACACTTATGTTCCCGACGTGACGTCATGTGAAAACGTCCTATGCGCTAAGCTAGTGTTTACACTGGTCAGCAATTATTCATAAAAAAATGTTGGAATTTGTTGTACGGAACAGAACCCACTTCTATCCCAGGTCAAAAACGTTCAAGAGGTTAAATGGCTTGATTCTGGCTTTCATTACCGCATGATACTCTGCAAAATTTGTCATTCCGCAGATGGTGAAACGTCTGTTACTGGTTTATTACGTTAGCCACTGTCAATGTCAAATGGCTCTTGAAACAATGGGTTCTTATATTTTAATAGTTGGGGCATTTAAATAACAAAAATAATGCTTTCTAACTTAAACTTGCTATCACTATACCTGGAAATATTTGATTATTTACGCGTAAAAGAAAAAGTGAAAACCTCACTACCATTTTTGTCCAAAGAGGTTTACTGAATTTACTCGGAAGACGGTGACAGATTTCAAAGGTTGAAGCATCCTTTATTGACACAGATTTAACAAAAGTTCTGAAAAAAATAAATTCTGATTGGTTATTCAAGTCATTAATACTTGATTAAACACACGTCATGTCTTTAATGATCTTTAAATTTCCCACCAATTTTCTTCCAATCCTCTTTTAAGGTGTTGTTCACGGTTCTCTCGAAGCTTTCTCTGTTGAGAACTCGCAGGGTCAAAGTCATAAAACATGAGGTCACTTCCCGCCATACTTTGTCTTGTTTCAGTTGTTGTGTGCGTTTTGTCATTTCCATCTGCCTTCAAGGTAAGCCTGCTTCAAGGCAACATGTTTTATAGCATGTAATCAGTAAATACCTCAAAGGTTTATTGAAAAGTTGCATCGACCTAGATTTCTCTCATAGAAGATTTCCATTTCTTATTAAATCATAGTTTTGAATTATCATACCTCATACCAACAAGTTAAGGTCTGTTTTCATTCGATATCCAGACAGCGAGAAGTGGGTTGTTGCAGCAGCATTTTATTTCACATCGACTTAAAGGTGTTTGTATAATTAAGAAACTAGTGTTGAGTGTTAGGAGTGTTCGATATAGCTTCTCAAATGAAGGATATATCTTAAAGGAATCCAATGCCTCAGTTCACAACAATGTTATGGTAATGGACCTTCCAAGCTAGCTGTTTTTTTTTCTCAATTTGAGACCACGCTACATTTAAAACCGACTCTAAACGGCCGCAGAGGACTGTTCCTTTCAAAATTTTCCCCATTGATGTGCACATAAAGGCAAATTTTATGGGAAGATAATTGAAATAAGTCTCATTTGGAGCTTCAAGTGGTATGAAATATGAAACAAAAAAAAGCTATAAGGATCTACCCTGATTTCCAGACCTACAGTAGTTCATACATCCTTTAATAAACTCCAGTTCACCTGCATCTATCTCGGTTCTTTGTATCTCTCTTTCAGTAGTGTTGATAAAACCGGCAAAGGCGCTTTAAAGATAAGCACGCCTTCGTTCGGGTGTTGAATTTAACTTAATAACTGAGACAATAGCATTTCAATAATTTTCGAAGAGATAACGATGAGCACTGAGCGAACATTGATTAAAATCGGCTTATTACAGACCATTAACAAAGATGACTTTCTTTGGGCCCACTTTAATTCTCTGCAAAGAGAATACGGAACTGTGGATTGTGTTTTCCAAGCGCGTTAGAAAGTTTCGGAAAGATTTTTTCTTGCTTTGTTCTTAGTGGAATTTAAGCTATATTTAGTTTTTCTAGGTCAACTTAAAAGATTTGCGGTGATCGGAGAATGTAGATATTGCTGACTTTCTGTCTCTGTACTAAGTGAACCTTAGACTCTGGACCCAATTCAAGCTCGTTATTCACGTTTGCACACGCTGTCCGTGCGTGAAGTACAGCAGACAAAACAACGTCTCAGACTTCAACTTCAAATTATGGGTTTAAACAACAGCTATGGTTATCTCGGCCTATGGAAAAGACTATCTGACTGAAATATAGGGTTTGTTGGATGTACCACGGTTGGCCATGATGACTGAATAAGTTTTGAAATCAGGAAGGTCATGACAAGAAAGGTGCTCGGAAATACTGAGCCCAAAAAATTGGCGTTGGGTTGAAACTGCCCTCACGTATTCATATCTTAAGTTTCTTTAACACAAGGTTCTTATTAAGAAGCATGGACAACCGCGACCTCGAAAGCTCAATCTCCGCAATTCTAATTATGTTTCCTCAGTGTCAGTTGGATTTTAATGAAACTTTTTATTCTACATTATCAAAAGTTTGGAAATAAGAGTTGAGATGTGTCTGGATTTTTTCCCGGGCTCTCAAAGCTTTTCCTTAAAATCTTCTGACGTAACTCTTCGAGCTGCATTTTACCACAAATCATAGCTTGGCTCTTTGCAAGTTGCAAGTGTTTCTTGTGAATATGAAATCACAAACGTCCTGAATTAGTCTGCATAACAACTGTTTCTATCCAACGCATATACACGCATTTAGGATTGAAATCATTATTCTTCAGTTTATTAACAATTTGAGTAGAAATCATGAGCCGAGTTACATTTTCATGTATGTCTTATGTTTAATTTTTCTTCCAGGGCAAAATCGGAAAAATGCCTTTCATTAAAACAAGACATGGTAAGCTGTTATGTCATTGCATGTCCGTAGCAGCTTTATTGAAACAACTGTGTAAAACTTAAACAAAACTACTTCCGTTTGGTGTTAAAAGACTAAAACGTTTGCATTGTCTGTGGCCTTTTCCTTTGTTCCTTAATTAAACTACATATTAATGAAATTGCGAAATTCATTGTTGTAGCTTTGCAAAAGAAGTCTTTTCTTTCCAAGAATCACATGTCCATAATAACCTAAAATGAAACGTTTTTGTAGAAAGTAATAGGTCTTTTAAGACTGATGAGTTAAAAAGCTCATCAGTTTACTCAAAAGGGTCAATTATTTTATGGGCACTTTTTATTTTTGTATCGGAAAGTTAACAAAAGACAAAATAAACAAAAAATAAATAAAGCCAAAGAAAGTACATTTAAACTCTACCCTATACAAACATTCTTCGTGTAAAGATTCAAGATGCTAATGCAAGGGACTTTGACTGACATTAGGATACATACATGGTTATGCTTTCGCTGAGTACTTGATGGTTTATCAGGGCGATTTAATATGGTAGGAAATTGAAAGATTTGTATGAAAATTCAAAGCTAAATAGTTGTTCTTTGACTTAGTGTCTTAAAGCTATGGTAACGAAACGGGCAACAGAAACGTTCAACTTGTTTTTCAACATTGCTGCAAAACGAGTTCAAAAGAGATGTTGCGCGTTTTACCACCCACGTTCTTTCTTATCTTGCAAGAAATTCAGGTTGCCGTTAGTTGCGTGAATGTTGACTTCTGGCCCCAGTTGTTCAAAAGGTGGATAACGCTATTCACCTGGGTGGGGGAAGGGGGGGTAATTGGCTAAATTTTTGCTGGGTATGTGCCGCTGACCTCTCAGAGCCCCTACCTCATTGTAATCTATTCTGTGACCAATTATAGACCCCATCTTACTCACTTTTGCGCAAATATGTAATTTCCGCGATCCAAACTTAGTCACTTTCTATTTTTATGAATTGAACCATGTTTTAAACTGAATGAAGAGCACTTTACTTTTCACCTACAGTACAAACATTCTGGTACGTTTGCTAACCGTAATATGTCTTACACCAAAAAATCCTAAAATGTGCGATCCCGTTCTAGTAACTCTATTGAAAATGCGACCCCATTATAGTCAATCCAGTCGTGAAAATGCGACCCCATCCAGCGGCACATTCCCATAAGCCTCTTATAAGGAAGTAGCCCCCTCCCCGGGGCTATTCACCGGATAACTCAATATCCACTGGATAGCGCAATTGGTTTCCCTAATACTTATCCGTTCATAGGCTAGCGCTATCCAACTTCTGAACAGCTGGGGCCTGATTGGATACAATCACGCGGGAGTCACGCCATATAGGGAAATTACGTCACGTTTGTCTTTTGCCGGTAAAACGCGCAACACACACAAATTTTATAACAAAAAGTATAACTATACCCTCTACTTTCTGAGACAACTAATTTGCAACCTACAACAACCTGATTTGTTGAAAGACAGATTTGATTCGTCATGATTCGTGGGTGGTAAAACACACATCATCGCTATTCGACTGATTTTGTGCAGGAATGTTGCAAAACAAGTTGCACCTTTTTGTTGCTCGTTTTACTGTGCCTCAAGACAGTCTACTGGAAGAACTAACAAGAATTTAAAAATGCTAAGACATCATTCCGATTTTTGTTTTCAAGTTTGCAAAAAAAAAAAAAAAATGCTAAGACATTATTTCGATTTTTGTTTTCAAGTTTGTAAAAAAAAAAACATTTTTCAAAGATCATCATATGGATTCATAAGGTTAATTTCCTCAAATGGGAACTGGGTCACAAATATGTAAATCCACGCGACGTAGGTTATGACTACACTATATCGCAGAGCTCTTTCACCGGCACAAAAACCGTATCGGATAGAGCTTTCATTCACACAAGAGGGCGGTGATTTCGGCGCGGTTTCTGTAACGGAGCGAAGCTGCCCCGCGTCGATCCTGAAATGGATCATCATATATTATACCAGGCCGGGTTGTTCGAAGCTGGGTTAAGATAACCCACTGTTAGCGCGAAATTTGAAATCAGATATGAGGGCTTAAAAAGCAAATTCAGTTTAATTCTCTTTTGCCTACAATTTTTCATAGTTGCATAGTTGTGTGAACTCGAGAAAATTATCCCAGAGAGTGCTTTTGATAAAAAGATAAGGAAACCCGGGTTAGAACTAACCGGCGTTCGAACAACTGGGCCCAGGTTGATATGACACTCGTTAACGCAGTGTGAACGGGAAGGATTTCATACTTAACCGGATAGCCGTTCACGTCCACATGAAAAGCCATTAGGTATTGTCTACACATGCATAGCCTTATTAAGCTTGAATTTCCCTCAACCTTGCCCTAATTACCCATCTTAAACCTAAGGGCGTGAACCAGTTTATAATCAAAATCTGTTAGAAATAAATCATCAAGATAACAGCTCGTTATAACCTTTTATTTAAGCAATAGACCACACTTTCTATGGGTTTACTGGCGTGATGACCCGCGGAGGGTGTTGTGAGAACAATAGAAATGCTTGTAAATCACTGGCAGAGGGCGAGTGATTTACAGGCTTCTCGTTTGGTCTCTCAACATCCCAAGGGGGTTATTACGCTGGTAAATATGTAAGTTCTGCATGTATTAATTCTGTGGGACGTTAAAGAACCCACACACTGTTCTTAAAGAGTGGGGACCTATTCCCTGGTGTGGTGGTCTATCTGTCATGGGGGAAGGGACTGTTACGGGCTGTTACGGGCCCGCAGTAATTGGTGTCATGCTGTTGCGGTGACCCTGTCAATAATTGGCGAATCTAATAAAATGAAATAAAATAAAATAAACCCATAGAAAGTGCGGTCTATTGCTTGATTATAATGTAACTTTAAGTTTTCTATGAGTTTACCGGCACAATAAACCATAGGTTTTTAACCAGTCAGAAAAAGCGCACTATCTTAGTTTTTTTATAAAGTAATATATGCTCTAAATTGCTTTGCAAAGTGGTCGACTGGACTCTAGAGACATTAGGAGTACGAAACCCAAACTAAATATCTAACTGAAATTGTTAATTGTTTTAAGCTCGTAACCTGTTGCAGTTTGGAAACATGATCCAGTGTTCCACAAATCGAAGTATGTGGGATTATTATGATTATGGCTGCTGGTGTGGGTATGGAGGATCCGGGAAGCCTGTAGATGGCACTGACAGGTAATCATTCCTTCTACGAGCTAGAGCCAGGAAGCAATGTATTGTAGAGCTACTGAGCCTTATAATGGCCTAATGGCCTCTTTTTGAGGCTTCACAAGAGGTATATGAAAGGGAAGGGGATTTTAGTACTTGGAGTATATACAATGGTATATGCAAGGGTGGGATAATCTGTGATTTTGGTCTTTAAAAAGGGCTAAAAGGGCCAATAGATGAATTTTATGGCTGTGAAAGAATCAGGAAAACGTTCTGGTTTTGTGATTTATTTATATCTAAAAGACAGTGCATTTACCGCAGTTAAAAGGGATGCAAAAGGGATAATTGAAAGGGGTGTTTTGTCAATAGAGGGTATTCAAAATGGCTACCTTTTTCTGTCAAGAATCGTTTATAAAAAGGGTGAGGGTTGGACCTCGGGGACGAGCTTGTAACTACTAAAAGTTTGTTGTTTACCCCTCTAATCCCCCCGCTGGGAGTTATATTCATTGAGGAGAGAATGAATGCTTGCGGATTTGAGGGATTACAGAATTTACTCTAGTAACAGATGGATTGGGATCGGCCGTTTTTACGCTATGTTTGACGACTTTAAGAACGTCCTCTCTTAATTTTGAATCTGAACGAAGCACTTAACAGATGACTTTAAATTCGTCTAGTATAAACGGGACACTATACTGACCACGGTAAACTGGAACGCAGTTATGCTCAATTTGTCCAGAAACCGGACTAGAAAGAGGCAGTGTTTTGTCCCTTTTTTTAAAGAAACCTCTCTTTGTTGCGGTGTTGTCGATTACTTTTCTGATGGGTCCTCTTTTTATACCAAAAGACTAATTAGCTCTAGAGGACTAGTTAGTTTAAGTATTTTGCTTCAAAAGACCAATTTATTGTTTTAAAACTATTTGGACTTCTTTATAGCTGATTGCTTCTTGCGTTCCCTTGCGCCTTCTGTGTGTATATGCACCACGAACAGGGAAATAGCGCTGGACAAGAATAATGACGACCCCTTGGACAAGTTTGATTTTAGTTTTTCCGCTAGATAATAAGAAAAAAGGACGCATTTTGTTTTACTGTTTTTGCCTCAGTCTTAAATCAAAGGAAAGTTGATTCATGTTAGGTTTTCTTGTTTCAGGTGTTGTTTGCAACACGACTCATGCTATGATCGCTTGACAAAAAACAGTATTTGCTCGGAACTGGCAACGTATTATTCTTATTATCGCTACAAAGGATGTCGTCAATGTGGTAAGAATTTGCACAGTAAAATTTACTTTAGAGTCTGAACCGTTCGGTACAAAGCTCATGTTTAAAAACGTCTCCCTGACCTAAACTGTATATTGTTAATGGACTATGTCTATGCCATTTTTTTTCCATTCACACTAAAGTTTAAAATTGTTCAGGTACTATATAGTTAAATTATAAACACAATAGCCCTGGTTCTTACGATACGGTCCGGTGATACGGAGGCCGTATTGTATAAGCATACCCCAGAGGGTATGTATTTTGTCAAAGACACACCTTTCTCATAACAATGTCATTTTCTCGAAAGATGATTTAATTTTCAAAATCTTTTCCGAGAGACTGATGATCATTTCTAAATCTAAACAATAGCCTAAAAATCGGCTCCAAAGGAATCCTATGTCTAGAAAGCATTTTGCAAAGTCAATACAACCACCCGTACCTGTTGGGCATCCAATAACAGCCTCTTAAATTCATTTAATTCAAAATTGCCGCCATATCGATAAAAAGGTTTATAAAAATATTGGTTCCTTTATAAAAGCTACTTTCCGTCGACTACAGAACAAATAAAGGTACAAGTTAAAGATACTGTGTAACTTGTCTTTCAGTTTTTTGTCGCCTACTTTATTTTACAAGACACTAAGTTTAATAAAATACTGCTTTGTTGATGTGGATCTGGCATATGTTGGTCGTCTTAATATCGACTCCGCTAACCAAAATTTGCTGAGAGAATGCTTAAACCGTTTAAAACATGTTATGGTATCGATGTTCTTGAAGATTACTATAAACAATTCAGGGAATATTAAGAAAATGTTGAGAAGATTTGTCTTTCGTTTAATACTAGCTTACTTGTTTTTTTTTTTCAGTACCTGAATCCGAGTACCCTCTTGATGACCTTCAAAAACAATGCAGGAATTCTCTGTGTGAATGTGACAGCAAGGCTGCCAAATGCTTCGCTTCATCAAGCTTTAATCATTCATATATAAACTACAATACTAATAAGTGTTAATGCTAGTGAACTATATACAGGAACAAGAGAGATCATTCTCTATTGATAGGACTGTACATGAAACATAGATTATCATAAAGGAATATTCCAAATATACTTATATTATTTTGCCACGATTTGCCACTTATTACGGTATTTAAAGGGACAGGTTCACGATTAAGCGCATCCTCATTAATTAACTTACTTTTTTCCAATTTATTATTAATTCTATCGGTTAATAATCCCACTCACATGTCACATGTATCTCAGCGATCTCAGAGTGTATTTCAAAGTAGAAGTGTATTTCAGAGTAACCTGAAGTAGGAGGGAGGAGTACTAAAATCGCAGAAAAAATTAGTGGATTATGCCAACACTACCAACGTTGAATTTATTGTTGACCCGATGGTTTTATTCCATGGTTGATTAATTTACAGCTATTTGCAAATATTTAAGTTGATCAAGTGCGAATCACTACCACGGGAGTGTGCAGATTGGTTCTTTGACAACATTATGACATGATCATATTGCTTGCATAGACGATACAGTATGTCCCGGAAAAAAAAACAGCATTTTGATAAATGAGCATGCAGTGAACCGTGAACCGTGTATTTGATAAGAAGTTATCAATCATCAAAACATTCTCTCGTAAAGTGTCTCCACAGAGATAAGTTTCTTATATAAATGGGTCACTTTCTATCGATTGGACACACCTAACCGAATGCAGGACCACACTACATTCAGTCATGTAAAGTTGATTCGCAGGCCTCTTTAATTTTTTGTTTAATACTACCTTAGCATCCTCACAAATTTGACAGCAAAAAGTACAGAACGTAAAAAGGCATTTTTGACCTTAACGCTACTTTTTTTCCATATATCATGCTAAGAAGGAACAGACATTCAGACAAAAAAAAAACCGTCAGGGCATCGAGAGACCAAACCAAAATCAGAAGTTACGCTCTATAATCATGGCAGCTGTGTTGGGTGTATCATTAGGGACTTTAAGATACAACGACACGACGGCGACAAGAACGTCGCTTAAAAAGTGAATTTGCGTTCCTTCAGTCTTCATAGTGATTATTCCTAACCACTTACTTTGTCAAATGTAGGCGAACCATCCTGAAGCTGAATTTCAAGGGAATATATTCAAGCTCGGAAAGAGAAATAAAATCTCGTCGTTGCTTGTTTACATCCTCTATAAAACGCGAAATTAGGCATTTTCACGTCGTAGTCGTGCAAACACGGGAAAGAAATGTACAAAAAAGTGTGATGCACGTGCGAAGTGTTTGTTTTGCTCATTAAACCTTTTGCTTTTTTGACGTTCTCGTCGTCGTCCGCGTCGTTGGATCTTAAAGTCCCTATTGCATTCTGATGATTCGGTTACCACGGCAACCCAGTGTTGCAAAACTCCAAACACAAATTTCGCCAAAAATATTTCGTAGGAAGCGAAGTTCAGCAAATGCTAGAACTCATTATCTCCACAGAGATAAGTTTCTTATATAAATGGGAAGTCTTTATCGACTGGACATACCTAACCGAATGCAGAACCACCCCGACTGTATTGGCGTAACGGTGGTGCTTCTTTATTTTTTATTTAGCTCATAAATATTGTTTAATCAAGACGAGCCCAGCAACCTTAAAAATTTGACAGCAAAAAACACAGACCCTAAAGAGGCATTTTTGATATTAACGCTAAATATTTTTTCATCGTGATGTCGTGATAAGAAGATACAGTCGACACTGAGATAACCTAAATAAGAGGTCTGTAGTAAGTTACAGCTATGTTTAGTGTTTCATTAAGGACTTTAAGATTCAACGACGCGGACGGCAACAAGAACGTCAAAAAAAAAACAAAAAACAATAGGTTTTATAACCATAACAACAACTTTGCACGTACATCAAGCTTTTCTGTACATTTCTTTGCACGTTTTTGCACGACTACGACGTAAAAATGCCTAATTTGGCGTTTTATGGGGACGTAAACAAGCAACGACGATATTTAATTTCTCTGTCTGTACTTGGATATGGTCCCTAAGAATTCAACTCCAGGAGGGTTCGCCTACATATGACAAAGTAAGTGGGTAGGACAGGGGCGGATCTAGGGGGAGGGTGCAGGGGGTGCGCACTCCCCCCCCCCCCGAGATGACCTGCGGTTTTCTAATACAACTGGTATTATGCCAAAAAAAACTGTGTGGTTTATTGGTGTTGAAGCAGAGCAAGAGACGAGTGCACCCCCTCCTAAAAAAATCCTGGATCCGCCCCTGTAGGAATAATTAAGATAAAGACTGAAAAAAAGCAAATTCACTTTTTAAGCGACGTTGTCATTGCCGTCGCGTCGTTGGATCTTAAAGTCCCTGTTGCCTTCTGATGACTCGGTAACCGTGGCAACCGAGAGATGCTAAACTCCAAACACAAATTTTGCCAAACAAATTGCGTATGAAAGAAAGTTCAGCAAATGCTAGGACTCATCCAAAAACTGTCATCGAGGGTTGTCACTTTCACACGCTGGAAGAAATTTTTTGTTTGTTTCTATGGAGCCTCAAGCTTTTTGTCTCAGAAATATGCTCCGCATTGTTTGAAGGGAGAAGAGTTAAAAAACTTTATCAGAGATACGCATGCGCAGTCTTTGTCGTGGTGGAAGATAGAAGCAACGATGAAAGGCTTTTTTCGCCCTCTGACCATAGTACTGTTCTTCGCAGGTATCAGTTCACATGGAATAGACGAGAAAACCCCTTTGAAAGGTACGATACGTTTCCATGTGTTTGGTATTTGCGAAACTGCGTTTGTTTTGTTGCCAATTTTTATTATCATATAAGGACAAGTGTCACAAAAATAAATTAGCCGTTATTTTGTAATTTTATGTTCTTCGTCAAATCGTGCGCCGCTCACATACCACCATAAATAATAAAATGAACGACCTTTGCTTTTTAAAAGTTATAAATGAAAATCTGGTAATAGGCGGTAGATTACCTTTCATAGATTTATCGCGTCCGGTCTTTATTTTCCAAAACAGTTTGATTTAGTGAATCTCTAATTTCAAATTTTTTGTTTTATTAAAACAGAAAGAGAGAGCGAGAGAGAAACAGCGGAGAGAAAAATTGTTTTTGAGTTCTTTTCTTCAACTCAGTATTAAGGCTCCCGGCTTTTGTAGCTCATTAGCTTTTAAAGAAAATCACCAGGGTTTTGAAATAATAAAAAGAGTTTGTAAATGAATCGCAAAATAACATTAACACAGAGTTGGGTGGAAGGGTGGTGTTGTGCTTCTCATATATTCTATTAAATCGAATCCAAATGACTTTCTTATGATTCCTTAGGTACAGTTGATTGTCCCTGACGTAGTTCATTTTATAAATATTAGTATGCGCAAATATGTTTTATCCGTAAGCACTTTAAAATAAAAGTTATCATCCTTATCACTATGTCACGTCGCACGCTCTACAGTTATTAGATCTACAGTTATTACTGCTGTGTGTATTATTATTATTAGCATTTCATTGCCTTCCAATATTGGCAAACCACAGTAACCAGAATAGCCAACTCCAGCAGCACTTGACATCCTTAACGGTATCGAATGCTTTCCGCAGGTCAATCAAAATCGCACCAGTCAACCGGCCTTGGTCAATGTAAAGAGCGCAGTCACTCTCTAACAATTAGCCTGTCCCTAACATAGAGATCAACCAGTTACTCCGTCAGTCAATCGATCAATCAGTCAATCAATCAACCTTAATCAATAAGTTAGCCATTTAATTCATGAACCTCACTTCTTCGTGTCCCTGTTTGATTCTCAAAGAAGCAGTCTTTCTTGTCGTGGAGCATAGGAGAGGCCATGAAAAGTTCTTTCTCCCTTTTGATCTTCGTGCTGTTTTTAGCAGGAATCAGTTCATATGGAATAGGTGAGACAATTCCCGTTAAAGATACCCCACGGTATTTATTGAGCTCGTTTTTTTTCAACAATTTTAACTTAAAATTTACACAATTCGTTTAGGAAAGTGTTTTTCACTCAATGGAAATATCAGAGAGCTTTTGATTCTTAGACGAGGACGACTACGAGTACGAGATTTCTCAATACTGAGTATTGCTTTCACGTAAACCAGCATCATTTTGGCAAAAAAAAATGGCGAAATGTGGTTTTAATAAGTTTTAGTTTCGCCTCTCACAATAGGACGGAGATACCACGACGAGTTTAGTAAGGGCTTTGGGAACATTTTTCTACAAAGCTTGGGCTCAGGGTCCAATTGACAAAATGGTGTGATTTTTTTTCGTTTAGCAGGTGTAATTAATAAGGTCGCGCCCCAGCTGTGTTGATTTTGTTGTTGCTCCGCAGCGGTAGGTAATTATGATTTGGTTACAAGAGACGAATTTAATTTTGCTACATACAGTCTTTTGCTACAATCAAGAGGGTACTTTAGCGAGTGCGCACCGAGATCAAGAAGATCAAAGAGCACTATTCTTACTTTGAACTTGAAATTGAACATGACATGATAGCGGAGCTGTCGCGCGCGCGAAGCGCGCTTCTCCGGAGCACCATGGGTAATTAGTAAACTATCCATCCGAGCAAATTTGGTTATGACGTAGCGTACGCCCACCCGTACACACACTTCATGTAAGCTGATGTGAGCCTATCATCTGAAAAGTCCTTTAAGAAAAAAGATTGTCTCGAAATCGTTGAAAGTGAAGTTCAAAAGTTGCTGGATCAAGATTTCGTCGTTGAAATTCCTCCTGAAAACGTAATCCATGATCAACCTGAATGGGACTTGCCTTTGCAAGCCGTTTCCACTCCTGACCGAACAAAGCAAGTTCGACGAGTGTTCGATGCCTCAGCGAAGGGTCCAAGAGGAAAGTCGCTTAACGAGCATCTCGAAAACGGACCAAACTACATAAACAGTTTGCCCAACCTGCTTAGGGCTTGGCACTTCGACAAAGTGGCTTATGCCGGAGATGTTAGGAAAATGTTCAATCAAGTGTTGATCCATCCTGACGACCAAGTCTTTTACAGATTCCTATGGAGGACAAACGAAAGTTTG